TGTTCTTATCAGGTTCTCGAACGTTCTGCCGAAGATCCTGACTGAAATTCAATCCCCAGTCGTCCCATGCAATTAGGACGCAATTATTGGCCACAGCGATAAAATCAACGAGGCAGCCTTCTTACTACTCCAGTCCGGCCAATGACCTAAGCATATTAATCAAGTTGCAGTCAAGGCAAGGTTACGTGATGGACAAACCCTAAGTAGATGTTAAGTATGGCTGTGCTACCAGTGTAGAACACCACCACACCACTGGTCTGCACAATGATGATCGCTTAACAATGATGGAACTATGTTATTAACTTTAGTTGGCACATGCATAGTGATGTACGCATACGCATGTACGTAGTATTCACGTGGATTTTTGTAGCCAGCAAAGAATTTAACAATTCGTCTCTTCACCATCACTCTCTCTCTATATATACATAAATTCGTAGCGATTACAACACAGTCATCTTAACTCCGCCTAGCTTTGTTCAAGGTTGAATTTATCTCTGCGTCCACATCAAAGTACACGGACGCTCTAAGACTTTGACGAATTCTCAGATTCTCAGTTGTTACCTGGGCTACTCGTCAGTGGCCACGCATGTGTGCATCGGTCGATTGAGATGGGCATCTTCTTATCAGACTCTCGAATGTTCTGCTGAAGATCCTGCCTGAAATTCAAACTCAGTCATCCACGCAATTAGGACGCTATTATTAACCACAACGATAATATCAAGACAGTCTTCTTACTAATCGTAATATAATCCAGTCCGACTGATGACCTAAGCAAATTAATCAAGTTATAATCAAGGCAAGGAACTGAAGTTCACGGGTTGGAGTGGATGATTAGGATGATTGGATGATTGGATTGGATGTTTTGGCCCAAATTAGCCAATCCCGTCGAACTGATCAACGTTTTTGCCGTTGCTTTCCGGCGGTTTTGTACATGTACGGTACGACACGGGTAGTAGTCGAGCATTTCTTCCCATTCACATGCATGCAACGACCGCGGAGAAGAAGATGAGCGCGGCTCGGTCGGACGACAGTGAATGCTTTGGACTGGCATCTGTCCGTATGGAGATCTGCCCAAGCAAGAGTTCGTCTGTAGCTCCGCCCAATTGCAGACATATGCAAGTTTAGCAGGTGAAAAGTAGTGCCTTCACAGGCACCCGCTTGTTGACAAGCCAAATTAGCTAATTATAAAGGCGATCGAGTAACTGCAGACACTACGACGACTGGACTTTCAGTCTCATCTCTTGTACGGTTGTGCCGACATGGATGCAAATGACGACGTTTGTGGTGTACACTAGGACTACCAGTATCTTACGCTATCAATTTCGTCTTATACGCATTCTCGGTTTCTTGCTCCGTCTCGGCAGCTGCTTTGGACCTGTCATCTACGTTGGCCCGGTCGCCGGCCACTATCACTGAGCTGGCTATGCCGTAGACAAGCAAGAGCTCCTAGAGCACGCGTACTCACAACGTACTTACGTACGTACGTATGCCGATCCGTACGCATTACAATCTTCTTCTTCCTAATGACACGGCACTTAACTGAGCACGTGTCCAAACATGGTGCAGAGACCAGACATAATGTATGTTCTTCTGGTCTCCGGGCCCATGTGAACGCCGAGCACACTTGTACATGTAGGATCCAGCTAAAATTGCATGCCATCGCGACTGCGTCAACCAAGCGCGTAACTGACAGGCACCGCCTCATCATTGGATTGCTAACCCCAATCATCAGGGGCCTGTACAGTACTGTACGTGTCGTGCGTCGCCCCCATGTTGTTGCCTAGCTACTCACATGCAGAGCAAGGATTGTCCTGCTTCAAGCCCCACCGAAAGAAAGCGAGTGAATAAAACCAACTAAACTAATAAACCGATAACGAACTAACTAAAACAAGCACGACTCGGCGCCTATGTACGCACATGCAGTTTTTTTTCATGGTAATACATGTCTCATTCATATCATAAAGATTAAAGTATAAGTCACGTAAGGACCGACATGACAAAAATGAAAAGATAGCAGAACATCTCTGAGCTTGACACCAACACCCATCACCTGTCTCCGGCACCACGACAGCAGCAACCGAAGAAAAGAATGATGGATCACCTCATCACCCGGGCTCGACGCGGCCCCATCGTTGATATGCAGCTTTGCGGACCTCCAAGGTGGCTCACCAAAAATGAAGCCCTTACCGTTGAACGAATCAGACCGGGGCAACATCCCAGACACGCCATCGAACTCCAGATCTGACACCCCACCGCGGCTAAGACTTCGCGGAAAGAAACCATACCTGCCATCCACGAACCACGAACCCAGCACATGTTCCGTCTTTCAGATGTCGTCGATGCAGACCACAATCTGCATCCGCTCCTGGACTACCTCCCAAGCTCCGCGTAGACGCTGGAGCAAACGCCGTCGCAAGGGCGGAGCCTGAGGACACAGGTCCACCACGAGGATGCCGTCGCCGCCACGCCATCCTTACTTGAACAGACTGGTTTTCAAATCCATCCCCAACCATAGGACCAATGGCCTTGTCAATGAGGGATCCGAAGAATCTTTATTCAGCGCTATCATCGTCGCCGCCGAAACAAAGACGATGAACAGCCTAAAAATCTAAACTACGAGGGAGTAAAAACGATCCACACGCGTGGATCCGGCGACCCCCCTCACCATCGACGGCCGACGTCGCCGGCGGAGGGGAGCCGCCGGAGGACGGCGCTGGAAGATTGGGTCTCCTGGCGGCGGCTAGGGTTCCAGCCGCCAGTGACAGGAGGAAAAACGATATGGATTTTACGCACATGCAGTTGTGTTTGGCTGCGCCGCACATGGCCTCTCGTCTACCCAGCCCCGAATGGCGGAGCGCGATACGTACTGCACTGGATGGATACGGTGAATCAGGGTTCGTAATCTTTTTTTTTCTTAGAGAAATTTTTTTTGCGGGGGTTGTTTTCTTAGACGAAATAAGGTTTCCCCCGTTTTATATTACAAAGCAACCATCATCGATACATAGATAGGTGCTGGGACGGAAGCAGCACTGGCACGACCATAAGAAACGAAAGAGAAAAGGAAAAGAAACAAATGCCGACACCGGCGGATCATTAAAAACGAAGAAGCTTCGCGGTCGCCCATCGGGGATCCTCCACCAACCTCCTATACAGTTGTTTTCTTAGAGAATGTGATGAGTTCTGAAGACGGTATCTACTACTTTCGTTTGAAAATATATGAAACCGAAACGTCAAATATTTTAAAACGGAGGTAGCACGAGTTTGGTGCATGTAGAACTGCCGTAACAGCAACCGTTATTTTGCCCGATGCAAATGTTTTTTTCAAGAACGCGCACAAGCTGTGTGGGTCTTCTATATCAAGAGAGGAAGAGAGCGGGTCAAAATATTGAAAAAGAAACATAGAGTTTATGTTACAGAAAATGGAACCCGCTGCCACATATTTAGCGAGAACCCCACCCTCACACACACACACAGAGAGAGAGAGAGATTACATACCTCTAAGTACCCCACCCGTTCGACCTATCTTTCACAATTTAAACTTCGCCTTGATCTTCGCTACCACCCTATCTGACAACGCCGCCACATTGTCGAAAACTCTATTGTTCCTCTCTAGCCAAGTGAACCGGAGTGTGATGATGTGAGGGTGTGCACATGGCGACGCCTTGACGAGGGACAGTAGAGTTTTCAATAATGTGGCGGCGTTGCTGGCTAGGGTAGTAGCGAAGATCAAGGAGCACGTTGTCATCTCACCACTTTCCCTGCGATTAGCTGGAACATGCACAACGAAAACTGGAGGCGGTTATCAGTTCAACACTTTCTGAAGTCCCCGAAATTTGCAGCGGTCCCTTGCCCAAGGTCAAGAGATGGAGAGAAGTGATGACTGGTGACGATGGTGCCTGCCTATGTGCTATCCGACGAGACACTCTTCACAGAGTATCTGAAATATCCTGTGTGGCGATGTCCAACGGATTGAGTACTCACCTGATTTTTTTTGTTAATTAGCTTGACAAATTTATTTTGCTGAATTAATGGATGAGACACATTTTTTGCCTCTTTGAAGAAAAGTTCCGGAAATTCCTTGGCACGCGCACTTTATGCCTCTATATGTCTATATGCAGTCAGCTATTCTGAACCTGACAATAAAACCCAGATTTTTAATAAGCCTAGACGTCCAAAAAAAAAGCATCCACATGACGTCCAAGTAGTTTAGTTACTACCAAATGGTCAATCATAGTAGTACTCCCGAGAGAAATTTGCCCCCGCAGGGTACACCATTGTATTCTATGACAGGCATCCTGAACTGTAAAAGCAAACTTTGCTAGAGATCCATGGAAGTGCATTGCATTTTAGTACACCACCAGATCTTGGAGCAAGCTTTCGCAGTAGCAAAATCATCCATTTCACTCACATGAGGCAAAGGCGAGCCTTGCGGCTTACATGATGTGTTTGTCATGACCTCAAAAATCCCTACCAAAAAAGAGGAAGAAGAAGCTCCATTGCAAAGCAAACTTTGCTAGAGATCCATGGAAGTGCATTGCATTTTAGTACACCACCAGATCTTGGAGCAAGCTTTCGCAGTAGCAAAATCATCCATTTCACTCACATGAGGCAAAGGCGAGCCTTGCGGCTTACATGATGTGTTTGTCATGACCTCAAAAATCCCTACCAAAAAAGAGGAAGAAGAAGCTCCATTGCAGCTACCAGAGCTAGCTACAGGAACACTCAAGGAAGAAGAAAAAGAAATTACTACAGCCCTACAGCAGGTCCTAAAATTGTTGAGCTGCAGTTGAAAATGCGGAGGAATCCCCATCCTACCCTCCACCAACCCAATCAGACCTCCCTATTTACATCATCCACGCAGGGGCAGATCGGTCAGAAACCATCAGCTGGCAATTGGCTCTGCTCTGCTGGTTCACCGATTTGCCTTCGCCAGGGGGCAAATTTCCAATCACGCCCTCCATGGCAGCCGAACGAGGAGGGTGAAACGGGGAAGGGCTAGGCTAGTAGTAGAGCGCGGCATCGTCGTCGTCGGTGGCCTGGCAGCCGGGGTCGGAGAGGCCGAGGAGGAGGCGGCGGAAGTTGGCGACGGCGCAGGGGATGCGGAGCGCGCCCGGGTGGTCGTAGCCGTACTCCTGCGCGGCGCGCCGGAGCAGGGCCTTGAACGCCGGCTGGCACAGGAGCTCGGCCCGAACAGCGAAGCGCTCCACGGGGCCGCCGTTCTCGCCAACGCACACCGGCACGTGCCCCTCCGGCACCCGTGCGCCGCGGCCGAGCCTTCGCGCGCCGAAGAACGAGGACGACGAAGCGGCCGTGGAGGAGGCCTTCGCGGCCGCGTCGGGCCGGAGTGGCTTGTACGCGGCGGCGGCGCAGGCGTCTGCCGCGGCCACGCGGGAGAGCCGTCTGAGCAGGCGCTTCATGGTGCTGCTGCTTCGGTCGACGCCGGAGACCTCAAGACGTGGAAGCGGAGGCCGGGAGGCGGCGGCGATGGCGGGTTCTTGGCGAGGGCGCACTAGAGCTGAGAGAACACAAGGCGTTTGTACTGAGGCGGCCATGGTGGCTCCTTATATAACGGAAGAGCTCGAAGTTGTGCGGCGTTGCACAGGTCCTCTTGCCATTATTTTTCTCGGTTGGCATTTACAAATTCTTTTCTCGGAATGGAATGTAGCGCTTATTCAGCCAGCCTGCTTCGGGTACACGGGGTTATTTGCCTCATTTGAAAATTTGGCCCTGCTTCATTCTAAATCGAGACAAACTTGGGGAGTATGTAACTGTGACTGGTTACACTGGTTAAAGTTGACAAGAAAATGTGCCGCGACTATTGTCTAGTTCAACTTAAAACCATGACCAACAGTTGGGGATTGTTGGTTCCTTCATTTTGCAAACATTGCACTCCCTCCATTCACAAATATAAGAGGTGGTTTAACTTTTTTCAGAATAAGATGTACATACAAAACATTTTAGTGTGTTTATTTACTCATTTCAGTTCGTATGTACTCCTAATCCATATTAAATATCCAAATCATTTTATATTTGTGAATAGAGGGAATAGTATTTTTCATACTTTTTTTAACAAAATATAGACATAGGCACTCACGATACGCACATACACTCACCCCTTTGAGTACATATTAATCTATGAACACGTACAATTTAATCTATCGAGGTAGACATATAAACACATACAATTTAATCTGTCGTAGCCCAAAATACAGCCTGTTAGCCCATCGTGGAAGGCTTGTAGCGTACTTATTGGCCTTTTAATCTATCCTTAACCTAGAACGTGCAAGGACTACTATGTTTCATATCGACTTCATATAGACTTGATACATTATGGTGTATATCTATGATGTGAAATAGTAGTCTAAAGCGAGTTATGCATTAATACGAAACAGCAGAATGGTAGATGTTTCGTGCTTGTGCTGTGAGATGCCTCTTTGTAAAATTACTATGATTTCTACCTTAATACGTAGACACGCAAATATCATATGTGTTCTTGAAAAAGACCATAGCTTTGTTCGCCCCCTCATGTGCAAATCCTGGCTCCGCCCCTGAGAGGTGCAAGTGATTGCATGGACTGTTGGAGTGCTGAAATGTTGTCAACCCGTGGCAGTAGTATTTTCTTTTCGTCGGAAATACCCTGTGTTAGACTATGTATAGCTTCTGTACCTATGTACGTATATGGTACATATTGTAACACAACCATTATATATAATGAGATAAGCCACCCCTAGAGGGTTGTGCTGGTTCCCCAAAACTTATTGTCTTACATGGTATCACGCTAGGTTACGATCGCTTCCGCTTCTAAACCCTAATACCCGCACCGCCGCCGCAGCCGCCGCCGCCTTCACCGCCGCCGCCGCGCCACCGATCGCGCCGCCGCCATGTCGAGCGCCGCCACCACCGGTTCCACTGCTGCGGGCTTCCTCCCGGCCTCTCTTGCGGCTCTGCTCAACATCCCGCTCGATGCCGTCTCTGTTCCGCCTCCGATCGGGACAAGGAGCATCGGCTCCGTCTTCTCCACGCCGCCGGCGCCCTCGCTTGGGCGTGACCTCGTGGTCCACACTGCGGCGCCGCCGTCCGCTGCGGACTCCGCAGGCGTCGTCCCGCCGCTCCTGCCGCAAGCGGATCACACTGCCCCGCTGGCGGGGTTGGCGGCGTCCGCACGGGCCGTGAGCTTTGCGGCGCCCGCCCTGGCTGCGGTCCCGCCTCCTCCCGCATCGGCTTCGGTGCCTCCGGCTGCCTCCATGGTGTTTGCACCCCAGGCAGCCTCCTCGATGGGATTGTCTTCGCCGCCGCCGTTTCAGTTCGGTCATCTCATCACCATCAAGCTCTCTGCCGACAACTACATCTTCTGGCGTGCGCAGGTTCTCCCGCTCTTGGGGAGTCACTACCTGCTAGGCTACGTCGACGGATCGCTTCCCTGCCCACCCGCGCTGGTAGACAGCGTGCACGGTCCGGTCTACAATCCGGCCCATCGCGTCTGGACGGGGCAGGACCAGGCGAACCTCTCCTCCATCCAGGGGTCGCTCTCGCCGGCAGTTGCCGGCCTTGTTGTCTTCGCGAAGACGTCTCATGAGGCCTGGACCATCCTTGAGCGCACCTTTGCAGCGCAGTCCCAGGCTCGTGTCTCTGCACTCCGTCGTCAGCTTGGAGAGTGTCAGAAGCTTGACTCCGCTGCCACTGAGTTCTACAACAAGGTCAAGGGCCTCGCCGACACATTGGCCTCCATTGGACAGCCCCTCACCGACTCCGAGTTCAACTCATTTATTGTCAATGGTCTTGATGAGGAGTATGATGCCTTAGTCGAGATCATCAACGAGCGGGGCAACTCGACACCCATGCTGGCACACGAGGTTTTCTCTCGGCTCCTTCTCACTGAGCAACGGGTCGAGACTCGCCGCACCAGGGGCACTGGCTCCCTCTCGGCCAACGCCGCCACCAAGGGTGGCCGCTCTTCTTCATCACCCCGGTCTCCCTTGGAGCTGCCACCGTCGCCCGCCTCGGCCCCCCACCTACTGCGACCTTACCGGGGGCTGGCGGTCCACGTGTGTGTCAGCTTTGTGGCCGCGATGGGCACTGGGCCTCCAAGTGTCATAAGCGCTTCCAGCGAAGCTTCCTTGGTCTTGGCAATGACGGCAAAGATACACGCAACAATGCCCGTCAGGTCGCCATGGCTGATCGTCCCGCGCCGCAGAAGCAACAGGGACACACTCAGTCCTACTCCATCGATCCACACTGGTACATGGACTCTGGGGCGACAGAGCATCTAACCAGCGAGATGGGGAAGCTTCACACTCGTGAACCCTATCATGGCTCCGACAAGATCCACACCGCCAATGGAGCAGGTATGCACATCTCTCATATTGGTCAAGCATCTCTTCTCACTAGACATGCCAATAGGAGTCTTCAGCTTTGCAATGTTCTTCGAGTTCCATCTGTGACCCGTAATCTTTTTTCAGTTCCTAAACTCACACGTGATAATAATGTGCTTTGTGAATTTCACCCTTTTGATCTTTTTATTAAGGATCGGGGCACGAGGGACATTCTTCTTAGTGGGCGGTTGTGCCAGGGCCTCTACCGTCTGGAGCATCCTGGTGTTGCTCGTGTTTTCAGTGGAGTTCGGGTCTCTCCGTCACAGTGGCATGCTCGTCTTGGTCACCTGGCCACACCTATTGTCCGTCATATTTTGCGTCGTCATGAGCTTCCTAGTTTGTCTAGTCATAAAGATGTAGCAGTGTGTGATGCTTGTCAGCAGGGGAAGAGTCATCAACTTTATTTTTTGGAGTCCAGTCGTGAGGTGAAACATCCTTTAGAATTTGTGTTTTTAGATGTATGGGGTCCTGCTCAGACTTCTGTCAGTGGTCATAATTACTATATCAGTTTCGTTGATGCTTATAGTCGCTTTACCTGGCTTTACCTTATTAAACGCAAATCTGATGTGTTTGATATTTTTGTTCAGTTTCAAAAACATGTTGAACGTCTTCTCAAGCACAAAATTGTTCATGTCCAGTCAGACTGGGGGGGCGAGTATCGCAACCTCAACTCTTTCTTTCAGTCGCTTGGGATAGCTCATCGTTTAGCATGTCCACATACACATCAGCAGAATGGTTCAGTCGAACGTAAGCATCGTCATATTGTTGAAGCTGGTCTTACTCTTTTGGCCCATGCATCTGTTCCGTTTCGGTTTTGGAGTGATGCTTTCACCACTGCATGCTTTCTCATCAACCGTACTCCTACTCGTGTTTTAAACATGAAGACTCCCATTGAGGTTCTCCTTAATGAACAACCTGATTATACCTTTCTCAAGGTATTTGGGTGTGCTTGCTGGCCGCATCTTCGTCCATATAACAAGCGCAATCTTGAGTTTCGTTCTAAGAAGTGTGTTTTTCTTGGCTATAGCTCTCTTCATAAAGGTTACAAATGTCTTCATGTTCCCACTAATCGTGTCTATATATCTCGGGACGTCGTGTTTAATGAGCATGTTTTTCCCTTTGCCAACCTTCCTGTATCCACTGTCGAACCACCATCCCTGCATTCATCCTCTGTTGCTTCTGACCAATTTGATGATGTTGCATACTCTCCTTTGCTGTTACCTAACCATGGTGCAGAAACCGGACGTGGAGCTCGTTTGGAGCTGTTGGAGGATTCACCATCATCATCGCCGTCTTCTGGTGGGCACGTCGATCGCCCTATGTTGCATGGCATCGATTCGCGTGCCCATGCATGGTCACCCGACGGGCCCGTCGCGCCGAGCATCTCCACTGCTCGGTCCGTTTCGCCAGCGGCCGCCGAGTCGCCCGCGGCTCGGCCCGTCACGCCGTCTTCGCCCGCGGCTCGGGTCCTCACGTCGCCTTCATCAGCGGATCGGCCCGCGACACCGGCCGCGCCACCGCCCACTATGCCGAGCTCGCCATCGGCCCGGTCTGTGATGCCGGAGTCGCCAGCTGCTTCGTCTGCTCTGCCGGTTTCGCCGGTGGGTCGGCCTTCTTCGCCAACCGAGTCCGAGGCTACCGTGACTGGCTCCTCGTCACCGGCTGACTCGTCAACGTCGCTGTCCTCCAGCCCGTTGCAGGCTGCTCCGTCGACCTCGGTGGTTCCTGTGTCCCGACCACATACACGCAGTCGCAGTGGCATTTTCAAACCTAAGGAACGTAAGGATGGTACGGTTGCTTGGTTGGCTGCTTGTTTGGCTGCTGCTGTTGCGGATCCATCTTCTGAGCCTCGCTCATATCAGGCTGCCCTGCGCATTCCACATTGGCGAGAGGCTATGGAGCAGGAGTTTCATGCTCTTCTTCGTAACAAGACATGGACTCTCGTTCCTCCACCACCACGGGTAAATGTTATTGACTCAAAATGGGTATTCAAAGTGAAGAAGCATTCGGATGGATCTATTGAGCGTTACAAAGCGCGACTTGTTGCTCGCGGTTTTCGGCAGCGTCATGGTCTTGACTATGAGGACACCTTCAGTCCTGTTGTCAAGCCTACCACTATTCGGCTTCTTCTCTCCATTGCTGTTTCTCGTGGTTGGTCACTTCGTCAACTTGATGTGCAG